AAATTTAAGGATATAATCATATATACAAGATGTAAGAATTGATTGAATTAAACTATATTTATATTGTATTTTAATAGTTAAACTAGATGAACATTAAAAAATATGTTGAACAAAATATGTACTAATCATTTTCTTGTTAAAAAATCCAGATTAAACTTTTTTATGGGTAATTATATGCCTACAACTTTTATTTACAATTTATATATGTTATTAAATGAGTTTATCAATATAATATATAAGGGAAAAAACTAATTATTAAATGACATAAAAAAATTATATAGAAAATTATTCTTAAATCATTTTCCTTTCTAGATATATATGATGAGAAGGGATTCATTAATACACAATTCTTACACATTACACTTACACAAAATTTAATCATTTATTTTTTTACTTTCAATTGTTAAAATTTATCACAACTTTTTAAATAAAAAAATAATTATTTTAATAAATGTGAATAAATCCCAGTTATTAAAAATGAAAAGATGAATTGTTGAAATTTTATGTAAATATAATATGTAAGATTTATGTGTAATTAAACCCTACTTATATAGACAATAAACATTTTCAAATATAATGAGAATATTTTGAGGCCCATAAAAAAGGATAAAAAAGATCAACTTTGAGACCCTCAAAATTTGAAAATATCTAGAAACAATGTCCACGTTGGTGTGCAATGGAGAAAAAGGGTGAAGAACCGAACGATAAACCTTTTGGATGCTTCTTTCTTTTTCTTGTTCTTTTTTTTTTTTTTTTTTTTTGGATGCCACTTAATTAGTCAAATGAACGCAGCAATATAGATGCAAGTTCTGGTTTTTCATTTTTCTTTCGAGTTCAACAGTGAAATTGCATAGCATTGTCGCCGTTGGAACATGAACTCCCAATTGGTTTGGAAAGTCAAATAACATTAAAAATCTTTAAAGGGTGAGTAGCAGAGAGATGAATGGCGAAGAGAGGTGGTGGTTAAGGGTACATGTTTCCCAGATGGGTACTGATATACACACTATTTAATTCAACACACTCTTTTATATTTATTATTTAATAAGAAATTAAAGATAAAAAAAATTTTAAAATATAATCATACATATAACATAAGAAAATTAATTAAATTAATTATATTTATATTATATTTTAATAATTAAATCAAACGAATATCAATATGTGTCCAAACAAAATGGTGTACGAATCACTGTCCCTCTTATAAATGCACAAGACAGCCAAAAAGTCATGCTTATTCATACTCTCGAAAAGAGATATTTCCAAACATATTGTGTGAAAGCATTCTCTATCTTAGAATAATTGTTCTTTTTTAATTTTAAATTTATTATAAATTAATTGCAACTTTTATATTTTTGAAAATAGATAAATATTTCTTTTCAATTTTAATCCTATGGTTAAATGTCAATTTTAGTCACTCAACTTTAAGTTTTTGCATAGTTTTCATCCTTCAACATTTTTATATTTTTTTGGTCCCTCAACTATAAAAAAATACTCTTTTCAGTCCTTCAATTAGTTAATCTATTAAATTTATCTATATATGCATTTTTTTTATCAGCAAAGTAAATATATTTTATTTAATAGAGCGCAAGGGGTATTCCTGCCCTTCTACAAAAAAATAATACAATTATTACCTGCAAATAGTTCAAAAAGATGCTACAGGTCCACAAATATAAACCACCCAGACAACAAATACATCCAGTAAAGAACGCATTGCTACATAAGAAACTGTTTTTAAATGCTTGAAAGAAGCCTCTTCTATTGCTGATTAAACAACTTCAAATATTTCATGTATTGTTTCAGTTCCCTTGCACACTCCATTGGAACCCCGCCACCTTATATATGCATATTTTTAATCATTTAACTTATAACATATGCACAATTTTTTTCCCTCAATGTAAAAGTTCAAGGACTAAAATGTGTATATATGGGTAGATTTAACAGACTAATTGATAAAATGACTAAAAAATGCATTTTTCATAGTTGAAGAACTACAAAGTACAAAAAAAAGGTTAAGGGATGAAAAGTACGCAAAACCATAAAGTTAAGGGATCAAAATTGGCATTTGACCTAATCCTATCATTATCCATTTACTTTAATTAATCATCCTATCACAAAAGTCACTCTTTATCTTTTATTGTTTTTAAAGGTAACATAAGTAAACACATAAATTGTTCCAAATTCTTAATTTCAAAATTAAGTCAAAAGGCTACACTTATTTTGAGATAGAGTAAGTGAGATAAGATGCAAGTAAGGATATGAACTTTACTAGTTTCTAAATAGGATAGTAAAATTTTAACTCTTTCTTTAAGATGCCAACTTTGTGTTTTTCCTTTGGGAAATGATTAGTACGTATTTATTTCGACACACCTTTTGACACTCATCTTATTTAATTATTAAAAACATAATATAAGTATCATCAGTTTTTGTATTCAATGTGCATGATTACATTTTTAAATTTATTTGTTTTTAATTTCAAACTAAAAAATAATGATCTATAAATAAGTGTGTTGTATAATATGTTATGCCATGTGTTGAATCATGATGTGTATCAATAAGTGTATTTTTTCCTATTTAAGGATCAGTTGGATTGTTAACAAAATCATTTGGCATATCAACATCATCATCTAATTAATTTTTAAATTAAAAAAAAAAAAAACAAAGTTAATATCTTTATATAAAAAATTAATTAAAGTTTACCATTTTATTTAGAAACTAACAAAATTTACATCTTAAAATTAAAAAAAATGGAAAAAATTATATTCTTATTTGTATGTTTTCTCTTGAGTGAGCATATGGATTAATCCAATTATTTAGATCCACTTTTACACAGTATAATTGTAATAATAACCATTAGCAGACATATCATGACAGTTTACCCCTTGGGGAGACACAACCTTCTGCTTTATGCTGTCTTCTGTGGTTGCTAAGTAGTACATGATGTTGGAAGGTGGAACCACATGACTTACTATATTTGCTAGAGGGTTTTTTATTATTCTCACTTAATGAAGAAAAGGTTACAAACGGTTGTACACCTATGTACATACATACATATGTTCACATTCTCAGTTCTTTTGTATTCAT